CTTGGTATAGACAAGAGACAAAAGCCTCAGCAGTGTCAGGCTGAATAAACAAACCACTACAGGGGCTAACATTAAATCATAATTGCATGTTTTATCATGTCAGTCCTGTCACAAAACAGCTAACTCTAGCTGCGACCACAGTAATTAATTTTCTACTGCCTTCTGAAATATATGGAGTTACCCTTAACTATCAAGCAGAAGCTACAATCTGCTTGCCAGTATACCAGATCAGATTTTTTAACATTTCATGCACTGAAAGGTACTGTAATTAAACAGTCTTCTTGGGGTGCTGCTTTGCACAGCCATTCCAGCTCACATACCCGAACAAAGCTCCATTCTGATCTATGCCTCTTTTGTTATATTTAGCACCATTAATTTGTCCATTACTTTCTGACGTTTACTGGCATTTACCTCTGCAAAAGCCACATGTCATAGAACAATGATTTTTTCCCCCTCTTTCCCCCAACCCTATGGCAAGAGCAAGAAAAAGGGATGGAAGGGGGGGAGGGAGGAGTCTGCTAGCATTTGGACTACAATATGGATGGTCAACTCCCCCCTGTACTAACAAAGAATCACTATCCCCATTATTGCCGGTACAATAAAAAAAGGAAATATTTACCAAAACAGGTTTTATCTTTGCAACCTGGTGCGTTTGGCAAATCTACCTCAAGACTGGGAAAAAAACGAATTTTTCCCCCCATATCTAGGGGAAATGATCAATAAAGACATGGTGTACTGTTTTTCTTTTCATTTTCCAGTTCTGAGTCCACTTTTCTGATTTCAAAGGGAAGGACGTGTCTATAGTAAAATCAGTAGTGTAACTTCTTGCTTAGGATGCTCATTCAGACATTGTGCGATCCGTGCTGTTAGTTAAGGCATTTGTTTTGGGGTGTTTATATTTGATAGTTTTACAAATAAGCCCACAAGGCTTCATCTTCAACGTCCTTTTATTCCCCAGTCTGTCTTATCCTATCTGACTGTAGAATTGAGATCACTTTAATCCCTGAAAGTTTGGAACTAATGTAATAACTGCTGAGCTGCTGCCACTGAGCCTGGTCCCAAGCTATACTGTACTTCACACTCGATTTATTCTCCAGATGGCAAAGTCTGTGCATCCCCGCTGTGAGGACCCACCTCGTCCATTGGAGTGTAAAAGTAGATGGATGTTGTTTTCTTTGCAGATGATTCAGAACTAGTAACTTGTGAAGATGCTGGTTACTGGCATTCATGGTTGCCAATTGAACCAAATGCATGTATATTCCTTAATTTCAATCTCTGTTTATTGTGGTGATGCTTGATTCATCAGCAGTGCATAGGTAGGCAAAATGGCTACATTTCCACCGTGTAGTAACAGACATCACTGTGAACCTTAGGTGAAAGATAAATATTAAAATGATATGGTTAATAGCATACGCTTGCATTTTAAATATATATTTCTGAGCATTTCGTGCTTAAAAACAGATGTATTCATCAATGAGCTATCATACTATTATTTACAGCATACATTTTTATCTATCTGCATGCAGTCAAAATAGAATCTAGATGTTAATGTTCACTTTTGGATTATTCGTTGCTTGGGCAAGTGACAATTCAAACTCTAAAAGACATTTGACTTATACTATTGTAGTGGGAACTGAAGGATCTTTAGAATAAAGACATGCTAAGCAAAAAAGCTTTCCTGTAGCATAGAGGGGGTGGGGAAGGAGAGCTTAATTCAGAACTAAAACTTAAGTACATATATGTTGTTACGTGTGGCATTTCCTGACTAAAGCTGCAAAGGGAAAGAGAGGAAATTATATGGTTGTACACATAAATTTTATCAAATGCAAAAAAAAAAAAAGTGCATGAACCATTGCATATTATTGATTCCAAATCGCGGTAGTAGGGTCCCATGAGCTTAACATACATAAGACTGGACCTGATCAGTGCTGAGAAGATAAACTAGCCTTATACCTTCAGGGGGGAAATGGTGAGATAGAACATGATGAACAAATAGTAAATAATAAAGGGAAATAATAAGAATATTAATATATTGAATTAATAAATACCTAGAACAGTTACTATTTCAAAAGAAATCTTAAAGATAAGGTATTTGCAGGGGGCTGGGGTGATTGGGATCTGGTTGACAAAAGCAGCATGGCAACTTTGAAATGTAGCTCCACATTGTACATTGCGATTCACAGCATTCTGCAGTTATCAGTCCTTGAAGAGGCTTGATGTAGCCAAGGCACAAAATGGTATAGAATAGAATAGAATAGAATAGAATAGAATAGAATAGAATAGAATAGAATAGAAT